ATGGCCCACCGGCCCAAGCAACGCATCTCCACTGCCCGACCACGAGCTCGACGCCTGCTTCCGCACGTGGCTGGCAGCCCACGACGTCGAGGAGCTCGCGCCGCTGCTGCGCAACGCCAAGCTACAGACCGGACTGCGGCGGTTTGCCTTTGTCCACGGCGATCTCAACGTCGTCGCGTTCGTGGCTGAGGCCACGTGCGTTGTCGCTGCGGACTGGCTCTTGGCAGCGTCGAAGGGCCACACGTCGGTGCTCGACTGGCTCGAAGCGCGCAGCTCGGCGTACCCGCGAGGCCTTATGGAGTGCGGCGTCAGCAGCAATCAGCTGGACGTTGTCGTCTGGGCGCACAAGCGGCAGCTCGACGTCGCGGGTAATCTGCGCACCGTGGCGGCCGAGCGAGGGTTTCTGGAGATTCTCATCTACTTGGACGCGCATTCGCTCAGCGGCTGGGACCCGATGGGCGTCTCGATCGCAGCCGAACGCGGTCATGTGGACGTGCTTTGCTTCCTCCGCGCCAAGGCGTATGCCGGGACGGGACCCGTCCTCGTCGACGGGGGCTCCGAGTGGGGAAATGGAAATGTATCGACTCTAACTGTGTAGCGTTCGTTTTATGTAGCAAAGACTTGGGTATATGTACCGAGAGACGCGCAGTCAGCTTCTTCTTCGTCTTCGTCGTCTGGACTGCACTTGGAAGCTTTGGTTTGCTCATCGGATGTCGTTTGGCGGCTCTGACGACGCGCTCTATCAGGTCCTTCCAAGCGTCGAGGTCTGGTCCAAAGTGACATCGCTTTCAAAGATCGTTGAGAGACGCAGCCGGTGGCGTACTCCATAAAAATGCAAGTACGGAACGGTCGGAGAGACTACCCTTTCATCGGATCGCCAGCGTCAGCAATCTCGAAGCCAACAATATCGACATGCTTGAGTGATTGATACTTTAATACTACATACTTGCAAGTCGCGCCCACGTTCTAGCATTAGGAGAAACTCGAACAAGGGGGCGCATGGGTAGTGTGCACGACGTTGGCAAACGAGATTGCTCAGGCGGACAGCGTCGCGCGCTCGAGCCGCTTGCTCAAGATCTGCAATTTGCGCTCGCTTGAGCAGAGCGGCTCGTCGCACTCGAGGCAGTGTTGGGCCAGCGCCGCATTGGCCGCCCAGCACCACTCACGACGCATGCTCGTCTCGACGCGACTCGACTGTTGGCTCCGGCGACATGTGGCGATCCCTGTCTTGCACGATCATGTACAGTCCGTCGTGTGCTCGTGTCGGTCGACGCGGTCGGTCCTCCCGCCACCGTGAGCGCCATCTGGTTCTTCTTGGCCCAAAGCTCCTTCTCGGGAAGCCCAAAGGACACCATGTGGCTCATGAAGCACCACTGCAAGGTGCTCAGTCGGCGCGCGCGGCAAATCACGACGGCGCGTCTTGTCGTCGTCGACACCGTCGAGGTCGTCGCACAGAGTCAACGAGCTGTTGTACAGGGCGTGTGACTGTTCTTCTTCATGCAGTGCCAGTACTTTTGGTTCACGCTATGATCGACGAGCGGGACAGCGACAACGTTGACCACCATCCCGACGGCGATCGAGGTCGCACACGGAAAGTAAAAGCTCTCAAAGATGTCAACGCGGACGCCGTCGAGGCGCTCGACCGTATTCATAAGCCGAAGGTCACCGAGTTGTTGTACGCGATGAACGGTGGCACGTAAATGAGCAGAATCGCCGAGAGGTAGAGATACCAGACGCCGCTGGAAAAGTTGAAGAGGCCCATGAGTCGGCTCTCGCTGCAGTACGACGCGCCGCCGATCGTGTGGATCTTGGCCATCTTGAGAAACGCGCCGTTGAGCCAGAGCAAGCGCGTGCTCAGCGAAAAGGTCCGAGCGGTCGCCTCCAGCTGCATCGCCCAGTTGTTGTCGTAGTGCACATTGCGGATAAAGATGAGGCAATTCTGCAAGTCATGGAGCACGCTGCCGCTGTAGAGAAACACTAAGATGTCAGCATTGTAGCAAACCATACAGCAGTGCGTGGGACGGGTGGGGAAAGTACTTGGGCACGACCGTGCGCAGGAGCCGCGTCCAGAGCGAGCTCGTCTTCGTCACATCGACTTCGAGCCACGAGACCGTCCGGAGGCTCGCGAGGTATCCGCCAACGGCAAAGAAGATCGCGGGTAGCTTGGCCCAGAGTGCGACGAGCCCAAACGAGCTCCGCGGAAGCATGAGGCCAAGCTCGTCCGTCGAGCCGGGCACATACGTGCCCGACGTCACCGTGCGTGTCTTGGCGCTGTCGTTGTAGAGAACCGTCAAGTTGCCGCGCTGTAGCCCATCTCGGACACCGGGGCACACCCCGAGCAGAACGTGCGCGGGTACATGCGAGAGTAGTCGACCACGATCGACTGCGGCGACGAGGTATTTGCAAAGCGAACTCGCGCGTGAAGCGCATGTCGGTCTGCGTGTGCCCCGGGGTATACCCGCGCGCCAAAAGTCCGTGGTGGTTGTCAGCGGCGGTCGCGAGATTCGTGGTGTCGTCGGTCGTTAAGGCCTGTTGCCGCGGTAGAACGTCGTTGCGTCTTGCATGACGCAGAGGGCTTCTTCCACTGACGCAGCGGGTACGTCCCGACGAAGATCGGGCCGAGGACCGAGTTGGTGGTGACCGCATAGGTGCCGGCCGAGGCAGCGTACACGTGGTCGCTATTTGTGACCATACTCTACTACTACTCTGAGGTTGGTCATCCACTGTCCAAGCTCCGAGAGGTCCTCGTAGCTGCCGTTGATTGGAAAGGCGTAGCGCGACCGGCGTAAGGGAAAAGGGCGCGTTCCCGAGGTCGTCGTTGAGCGTCCAGTTGTGGACGACGGCAATGATAATGACAGCGACGAGGTCCAACGCCTGCACGCAGAGGCGACAGGCGCGGGCGAGGTAAAAGAGGTACGGGTGGTCCTTCTTGAGCTTGACGAGGACCGCCGAACCCTCGCGGTGGTCGGGTGGTGGCGACTGGAAAGGCGGCAACTGTTCGAGTCGTTAAAACCGTGCTTACATAACCGCCGCCATCCACCCCTTCAACGACATGCAGCGGAGCGCAGCATGGCAGTCGTACCGTGATACTATTGTGGTGCATCACACCGCGAACAACGTCACACGATCCCTTCCGCATTTCTATTCCTTGCATTTGACATGCCATTGGACAAGCCTCCTTTGAAAAGGACGTGCGTGTCGAGGATCGATCCCTGTACCATATGTCGGTCGGCACTGCAAGTTTGTTTTTACTGGTACGCGCGAACAGTATCAGTGGTAGCCGTGGAGCCGTGGCCTCTGCTGTACTGCGGGACTCATCGTTATACAAAGGACGTCGACTACAGAGAACACCACGCTTGCCACCGCTGCAGTCTGGCCTCGCATCGAACTCTGATAGCCTTGGACTCGATTTATTGTCGCTGGCGTTGATGACAACACTTTTCAAGTATCTCGTTGCACCGCCTTCTCGCGGATCTTGGCCGTCGTCCACCAGAAGAAGCCTCGCCCTACGAGTCACAAGAGCGACCAGCATCCTTCGCCGATGACGGTCCATGCGATGTAGCTGCATCACGCCATTCTGCTGTCGGTTGCCATCTGGTCGGACTTCACCCGTGTTCGTACATATCTATCTTGGTCCGCGGATCTTCGTCGGACCGTCACATTGCCTTTTCCACTCGACGAGCAAGATGTCGTACTCGGGTCTTGCGTCGCTGCAATGGTACTTTACAGGTCTCTGCCACTATGGCGCGCGCGGCTACCGCAAGGCGTCGACCACGTGGGTCGAGACGCCCGTCGACGTCTCGTCGCGCCACTACGCCGTGACCGGCGCCAACAGCGGCCTCGGCTTCGCGATCGCGACCCAGCTCGCGCAGCTCGGCGCGCACGTGCATCTGGTCTGCCGCGACGCAGGCCGCGCTGAGGCTGCGCGCAAGGCCATCGTCGACGTCTCGTCGCACGACCCGAGCAAAGTGCACGTCCACCTCGGCGACCTCGGCAAGCAAAAGGACGTGCATACGATCGCCGCGTCTCTGGCGGCTGCCGCGCCGTCTCTTGATGGCCTTGTCAACAATGCAGGCATGCTGGCGAAGGAGGCAGTCTTTACTGAAGACGACGTCG